CAGTTATCTCCAGATAACTGTTTCTTTACTCCCATCATTTTGTGGCTGGCTTATGACCTGAAACATGAGTGGGTTTTAATCTGTTTTTTATCCTACCTATGGTATTTTAGATGTTTTCATTATCAATAAGCCTTCATCATTTTAAAAATCTTACAAACTTTTGATCTCAGTGCTATTTAATGGCAGTGAGTTCCACAGATGAATCGGGTAAAAAGAGTTTCCTTTTATCAATTTTTTAGTCATGTTTTGGCTGTTTGCTCATCAATTCCTACTTTGCACACCTTATATCTATCTTACATTTTACCTATCCTTATTTCATTTTCCACTCTTTAGACTTAACTTGGTTTGGGTTTCCAATTTTTGAAGGATACCCATTTGGCTCAACTAACATCTGCTTTAATCATAAAAAAGGAAAAGGAAATTATCCAGTTTTATATCGACGATGTACCAGCCAGTCAAGAGTAACCAGGGCATACCAATATTGCTAATGAATATGCACTTGTACATCAGTCAGCCAAAGGACAATTAACTTGTTAGTCTTGCATGGATTATCTGTGTAGGAATATTACACATACCTTTGAAAGTGCAAAGTTTAAGAAATCCTAAGGACAGCTGAAAGGCCAGCTTTGCAAGCCACTCGATTCGTTTTGGTAATCCTTCTGGGGACAAATAGACACTTAGAGCAAAAAAAGAATCAGCATGTACCTGGTTTACACTGTGTTTCTTTAAAGAAAATTCAAAGGCTATTGTTTGCCAGGCTGAAGCAATTATTCTGAGATATGAGTCTCTCCCTTATTGTTTTGGTCTATACTTGTTTTTATTTCAACAAAACAAGTTATGTATCACATAAAAAATAATTTTAAAAGTACCTTAATTTTATATTTAAAAATTATAAAAATTATTATAGATGAGCAAATAACAATTTTACACATCAAATTATTGTACTATATTCAAACGAGATCTGAAAAATATTATACAATATACCTAAAACATAATCTATAATAAAAAATAATTACCACTTTCCAATAGAAGTATATTATTGGCCCTGAAAGCTATCAGTTTTTGTTTGTGTGGCCCTCAATAGGCTTCGAGTTTGACATGCCTGGACTAAACCATCCATTCATGGGAGGTGGGTAATGGAGGCAAGAGAAGACATTGCTGTCCCAAAAATGCCTACATTCCATAGCTGCTAGGGAAGGCTGGGGTGGCAGCCGCAGGCCTCCAGGTGGCCAGGAAGGATCAGGTTGGGGTTGGGGGTGGCTCCACAGGTGATGGGGGGGAATGCTGTATGGGTGGGGCCTCAGGGTAGAAGGGCAGGTGCTGGAGCTTGCCTTCCCCAGCTGGGTCTTCACCTGCCACCCATGTATCCATCCAGAGTCTTTATTAAGTCCATTATTTTTAGCATCTAGCAACATTAATTAATTTAACCTCCTGGGACCAGACCAAAGACAACAACATTGGGACAAAGGAAGGATAAGGGGGGCCCAGAATGTAGGGATGTTGGGGGGCTCCTCCAGTGGCACAGTGTATAAGGATTTTCTCCCTATCTAAGCCAAAATCTGCTTTGCTTATAAAATTCTAATGGGTTTGGATCTTAATATCTACTATAATTTAATAGGCAGCAGGTTTAAAACAAATAAAAGGAAGTTTTTCTTCACTCAGCGCAAAGTCAACCTGTGGAACTCCTTGCCAGAGGATGTGGTGAAGGATAGGACTTTAGCAGGGTTCAAAACAGAGCTAGATAGATAAATGGAGGTTAGGTTCATCAATGGCTATTAGCCAGGATGGGTAGGAGTGGTGTCCCTAGCCTCTGTTTGTCTGGAAATGGGAGACAGGAGAGGGATCACGTGAGGATTACCTGTCGTGTTCCCTTCCTCTGGGTCATATGGTGTTGGCCACTGTCGGCAGCCAGGATACTGGGCTAGATGGACCTTTGGTCTGACCCAGTATGGATGTTCTTATGTTCTTATTAAATAATTATCATCTCACACACTCCCCCATTATTTCCCACCACTGCTAATATTTAAATCAATACAAATGCTGGAACCCCCTAATTTTGTGCTGTGATAAAATTTTAAATAAAAAATGCTGAAAACCAACAATATAATTAGCCATCAAAATGATATAAAAAAAATTCTGGCTAAACTTCTGTATATTTTATACCTGATACATTATTTGGGGCTTACATTAAGGCTGTGCTGAAAAATGCATGTTTTCCTGCTTAGCGAGGCTGCTGACGTTGAGTGCGTGGGTAGCATCAGCGTGAGGTGTGGCTTTAATCATTAATTGCCTGGCTTTTAAAAATTGGCAAGTAAAAAGGAAGGGAAGTCAATGGGCCACACTTAACAAGGCTTGTAACTTGTTTTTGAAACCAAGTGTTTTGTTTTGGTCATTTCCCAGGTATTGGGGGGGGCAAGTATAAACATCTTTCTCGATTTCCTTTTGTGTCCGTACCAGAGAGACAATTTACAAAAAATGAAGTGAATGGAAAGGGTGAGTCACTAGATTGTTAAAGCAAAGATCTAAGCAGTGCTGGGGTTTCTTATAATGGCCCTTATAAAGCCCTGCTTCATTGGGTCTACCTGACAAGCTACACATTTTCCGGGTGGCATTCCTATAGAGCCTAAGAGCTCCGGGCAAGGCCCAAGACCTTACTGAGTTGTATGCACAGATTCCAACAGCCCTTGCCCCCAGGAGTTAACACACTATATAGACAAGACAGGGAGGCCTAGAGGGGAGAAGTGATTTGCTCAAACTCATGCACCAGGAACATAGGAACGGCCAGGCTGGGTCAGACCAATGTTCCAGCTAGCCCAGCGTCCTGTCTGCCGACAGTGCCCAGGGCCAGGTGCCCCAGAGGGACCGAACAGAACAATCAAGTGATCTACCCCCTGTCGCCCATTTCCAGCTTCTGGCAGTGGCCAGGTGCCCCAGAGGGACCGAACAGAACAATCAAGTGATCTACCCCCTGTCGCCATTTCCAGCTTCTGGCAGCGCTGAACACCCCGTGTCTTTTCAGCCCTTCTGAGGATCGGCCCTCAAAGGAAGAGCAGGCTCAGATGCCTCAGTGATGGGCAGCCGTGTGCAACCCAAAGCTATTGAGCCTCCTCTCTGCCTCGACTCTCCCAGCTGGCAGATGTGGCCTGCTAGCAATGCCTTGCACATGATGGGCCTGTTCCCATCTGTCAGGGTGGGAGCACTCTGGAAAGATGTGGTTGCCTGGCCAGCAGGGCTTTTTCAGCTGCTTGGGTGCAGAAACTAGAGCAGCCAAGGGCAGTATCCTTGAAAGCAGACAACACAGGCCAGAGTCAGGCCTCTGTACCAAATTCTGCTTCCCCAGCGGCAGTTAGGCACCTCCTCACTCCCAAGTGGGAAAATCCAATTTTCCACAGAAAGCCAGAAAACTTGTAGCCAGCTGCAGAAACCCAAACCAGGCAGCTGGGGTCCCTGAGGAAGGTAGCTGCCTGCTTTAGCCAGCGCACCCAGGGACAGGGGAAAGCCAGCAGTGCCTGGCTCCCTGCAGGGACAGACTGGGAATTTCCTGCAGGGGCAGCTTGCGCCAGCTGCTCCTTGGGTTGAACAGAAGCCAAGAGGGGTTTGTGTCACATAACCAGTCTGGCTGGAATGCAGGGCCTATAAGGCCTGGCTGAAAGTGACTCCTGTCCACAGAGGGCTCAGAAAGGGGTCCCCCTCAGGGCTGGAAGCCCCCCAATGGGAAATGCATGAACCTAGCGTGACTTCAGGACCATGAGCTGGGACCCGCTGGCGACTCAGCAGCTGCCCCATGGGTCAGACAAAAAGAAGGTGGGAGAGAGCCAACCATGGGTTCCATGCCAGCCTGGCAAGATGGAGTACCCGCTCGGCTAGGACAGAAGTCCTAACTTTTGCTTCTCCAGCCCACGCCATGGGGCACCCTAGCCCTACTCTGGTGGGAAAAGCTGCCCACATCCCTGCAAACACTGGCTGGGACCCTGGAGAGGGGGAAATGTGTCTGGCTCAGTTGGACTCCCTGGGCAGAGCTCATGATCTGAAGCAGGAAGGCTGGAGCTCAGAGACTCCATCCCCGAGATGCTGAGGCCACCTGGCTGGCCCTGGAGAAAGAGGGAGCACCCTGGGGGTCTGACACGGGACAGTTTAAAGCTGGAGCTTTGCACCGAGGCTGTGGCTCCATCATTCCTGCCCGGCCACTGATATTTCACTGCCCTGGGGGAGCAGGTCTCATGCTGAGTCGTGGCCTCGAGGCACGAGGCATGGGGGGCTGGCGCAGAGACACAGATCACCTCAGGCTCCCCTTTCTAAAAAACGAGGCTGGCCTGAAGGCCAAGGGGAGAGCTCATAGGGCCGGGCGCTCCAGGGACGGGCACAGAACCTGGCAGTAAATGCCAGAGGCATCAGGGGTTGATACTGGACTGACAGCTCAGCTCATCCCTTCCTGAGCCTGGACTGGGGCTTCCAGCCCCCTTTGCTCTCCCTGCACAGGGTGGCCAGGTGTGCTCTGCTCCCCTTAGGAGGTTAGTCCATGTGCTTCCTCCTTGGGGTAGAAGAGAGGGGGCGGGGCCACACTGGGAAGTGCCCCCTTCATGCCACATTTCCTGGCTGAGAGACGATGCATTCTGGGGCAGCATGGGGCAGGCTAAATAGTCAGAGCACACAAGTTGGGGGCTTGTGTTCTCCCCTCAGCCACGGCAGGGCTGACGGTGCCTCAGTTTCCCCCCTTGGAACCAGCCCCCAGGTTTGTAAATTGCTTTAAGTTTGATCTTAAAAGGCATCCCAGAGCCCCTGTGTGCCCCCAGGAGGGTAGGCAGGTAAATCAACTAGCAAGGAAGCCACCAGTGCCCCAGGATCTTAGGGCTGTTCAGCCAGCATTCTTCCCCTAGTTCCCAGGGCCCACATGGCCCCTGATAACACAGATCCCACCTCCCAGGGCTTTGGGACAGCAGGCGGCAGGGGAGCCTGTACCCCGGGGTGGATACCCAGGAAGGGATGAGCCCAGAAACAAATTACAAAGTGAATTAAACTCTTTATTCACAGGCAGAGCGAGGCTGGCAGAGTGCCATGGTGCGGTGTCCATGTGTGCAGAGCAGGCTGGGGAGAGGGTACCTCTCAGAACCCCTTCTCGCTTCAGTCTCAGCGAGAGGCCGGCTCCCTTTGGCCCAGCTGACCAAAGCCATGCTCAGTAGCTCAAAAGCAAAGGCTAGTGGGGTGGGGGGGGGAGGAAGCAACAGAGGGAATCATGTCTCCCATCTCTCTCTGGTGACACCTGCTCAGCTGTGGGGCAGGAACCGCAAGGCAGTGTGGGGCTGGGCAGCATGAGGGGCAGACCAAGCGATCCACGGATGGTGAGGTACCCCCCATCATTCCTCCAGATCCATAGGGGGGGTGCATAGTGGCAGGGAGGGGCTGTCCTTGACCAGAGTCCAGCTCATCCATTGCCCCCTCCAGCAGCACTCGGGCATTGATGTCCCCAGTAGCCAATGCCCTGCCCCAGGGCAGCCGGCAGTACCTGGGGCCATAGGGGAGCCGCTACAGTCAATCAGAGGCGGGGCCACAGGGGGAGAGTCTCACCCGGAGCCAGGCTCCATGTCCATGCTGGCCTGCCGCACCATCCTCCTGGGTCGTGATGGGGGGAGAGCGCCTCCTCCAGGCTGGGGCTCCTGAGGAGGGGACGAGGGGCTAGCAGGCTCCTCCTTTGGGGGCCTTTCCTGGCCAGCAGCCTCCAGCCGCTCCTCGAACTCCCTGGTGCGGCTGAGCACCAGGGCTGCGTCCATGAGCTGGGCCACGGAGTGCCGGTGCTTCATGGCCTGAGCCCGGCGTGCGTTTGGGGCCCTGTCTTTGGGGGAGGAGCCTTCCACAGGCTTCACGGCCTTGTGCAGCTTGCCCTTCGCTGGGTGGTAGGAAATCTGCTTGCACGGCTGGGCATGGCTCCGAGGGACCTGGCGGCCGCGCTGTCGGCCCCGCCGCTTACCCGTCTTCTCTGTTGGGGTCCCCTGTGGGTGCTGCTCGGCCGTGGGGCCTGGGGTTGCTGTTTTCGGCTCCTCCTGGTTCTGCGCGGGTGCTGGTGGGGCCGCAGGCTCCGAGGTGGGGTGCTGCCTCGGGGACTCATGTCCTGGGATGACAAACACCTGTAGGGAAGAGAAGAGGGGGCGATCAGAGAACAGGCATGCTCAGGGCACTGATAGACTCAGGCCTTCTCTCTGCAGGCCCAATCCCTCCCTCCCCACACATGGGCCCTACTTCCTCCTGCATAGCACTGCCCTACAACCCTGGATCCCACCAGCTGGGGCTGTCTCCCTCCCCGCAGGTGCTCCCTGGCTGTGCCCCTTACCTCCCCCTCGGTAGGACCCCCCAGCGGGGAGGGTACGTCGGGGCTGTCCATCTCGCTGATGCTCCTCATCACAGCATAGAGGTTGATCCGCCGGTCACGTGGCGTGCTGGGCGTCTTTGGCACCCGCAGCGTGGCCAGGTGCCCCCGAACCTCCTCCGCCCCTGAGTCATCGGAGGCCCCTGGCTCCTCCACCACCTGCAGGCAAATCTGGGGCCCCTCGCCGCCTTCTGGTGCCTGGGGCTGGGCTGGTTCCTCGGGGGGCTCCCGCAAGGGCCGGAAACAATACTGGGGCGTCGTGACTGGCTCCTCCTCCTGCGGTCCTGGCTCCTCCTCCGAGCTCAGCCGGTCCTGACTCAGGCTCCCCTCGCTCTCCGATTGGTCACTGCCAGTGTCACTCCCGTTCAGCGTGTCCTCCCACTGGGAGTCTCCTGCCTTCTGCTCCCACAGGCTGCTGTGCCGGCTGGGCAGAGACACACTGAGCTCACCACAGGGCACCGGGGTTGTCAGTGCCCCCGGCTGAGGAGGGCAGGGCTGGGCACTGCAGGCTCCTCCCCCTCCCTGATGTCACAGAATGGGGAGGGTCAGTACGGGCTCCTCCCCCTCCCTGATGTCACAACAATCCCTGCCAGGAGGTGGAGCTAGGCAGTGCAGGCTCCTCCCCCTCTCTGGGGTCAGAGTGCCCCCTGTTGGGGCTGGGCAATGTAGACTCCTCCCCCTCCCTGATGTCACAGAATGGGGCTGGGTAGTGCAGGCTCCGCCCCCTCTCTGGGGTCAGAGCACCCCCTGCTGGGGGCAGAACTGGGCAATGCAGACTCCTCCCCCTCCTTGCAGTTACCTGGCATCCAAGATGCCCTGGTAGAACTCCAGCTGCTTCATGAAGCTGGGGTTGGGGTGCACTATGGGGCGTCTGTCCTGCACGTGCTGGTAGGCCCGCTTCAGCGTCCAGCCGTACTCCTTCATGGCGTAGGCAATCACCGTGGAGGCAGAGCGGCTCACGCCCATCTTGCAGTGTACCAACACCCGCGAGTTCTGAGCCCTGCCAGGGGATATAGGCCAGTGAAATGGGTGCAAGAGACTCAGCATACTTTCCTCACCTCTCCTTCCCCAAGGCATCCCCTGGCAATGCCCCCCATGGCATCTTGATGGCAACTGCTACCTCCTTCGGGAGCACACAGGAGGGCACCACTGAATAGTATCTCGAAGGTGCCTTCTGTCTAACTACGATTACACATTCACCAGGACCCCACCACACTGCCCACTAGAAATGGGTTGCATTGGATACATTTACATCAGAACCCCTGTTACTCTCCCATTGCAGCCAACCCAGGGAAAGGCCAAATCTGAGAGACCAAACTTGAGGCTTAGGGAGTAGAAGGCGACACAACCCACCAAGACCTCAATAGACAGACGGCGATGTAAATGCATCCCGTCAAGGTTTCAGCCAAAGACGGCAGAAGGCGTGCAAACAGCCATCCAGAGAGGCACAGAGACAGAAGCACCAGACACACAAGGCACCCCAAACACGGAAAGCAACACCCCTGGCAGCATAATATTTATCTGTGACAAAGGCCTAGCGGAAAGCACTGCTAGGAAACATCACACTATAATGGGACCTAGGGCTGAACTAAGAATAGCTTCTGTTTACAAGCTACCAGGAGACCGGCGGACATGGCCAAGTGACCCTCTTCTGCCAGAAAAGCCATGCTTTGTCATCCCTGATGTTAGCAGTCATGCCATCTCCTTGGACTACTCCAGCAAGGGGTAGGCAGGAACCTAGACCTTGCTCTCTGACTCCGGGAGGTACATGTGTCCTCAAAGAGCATGCTTGAGGGAAGGGGACAGCCCTGACCTAGGCTACCACTGCACAATCAGTGTCGCGGTGCAGTGCAGACATGGCAGAAGCGGTTTTCCCGTCAATGTGAGTAATCCACCTCTCAAAGGTGGGAATTAGGACAGCGGTGTACTTGGAGAATACTATCACACAGGGGTCCTGAAAGCCGATGCCTAGCAAGACACCAGTGTACACCTTCCACCTGAAACACTGTCCAAACAAACTACCGTATCGTGGGCGGGGACAATCTTTGAGCTCTGCAAAGATCCTGCGTCCCTAGGGTCACAGGAGACAGAACGTTGACACTCAAAGAGCACAGCGAGAAGCTGGAAAAGGAACTCCGGTAATTGTGTACTTCAAGAACTGGCCAACATGAAAAGGGGAGCTGACCTCCAAATGCAAGATGGGCTAGTCAGAGTGTGATATTCCGTGAGAGAGAGAGACAGAGACAGAGAGAGATTCCGCTCTGGATTACTGAGCCCTGTGTGGTCCTGCATGAGCCAGGCACACAACATTGTTACTGAACTCAACCAATCCTGCAGGATCGTCACGGGGATGTTTAAACGGCAGCTCTGTGGCCTTGGCAGGGACTGCGCCACTGTCAGTGAGGTGGGATGCTGTCAGCAGAAAGGAGAGACCAAAACTGGTTCAGGATCCCAGATACCCACGGCATGGGCGTAGTCCGCCACCCAAGCAGCTGACATCCTCAAAGAGCTTTGCCTCTGAACATCCACTACCCCAAAAACCTCTGCAGTAGTCTCCAGGGAAACAAGCACCAGGAAATGTCACCGAACGTGGAAAACACGATTCCTCCAGAATCACTCCCTCCAGGCACAACCTCAATGAAAGCCCTGCCGCGTGGATCCCCTGCCTGCTGCACCCACAGGCTGCTGTGCCGGCTGGGCAGAGACACACTGAGCTCACCACAGGGCACCGGGGTTGTCAGTGCCCCCGGCTGAGGAGGGCAGGGCTGGGCACTGCAGGCTCCTCCCCCTCCCTGATGTCACAGAATGGGGAGGGTCAGTACGGGCTCCTCCCCCTCCCTGATGTCACAACAATCCCTGCCAGGAGGTGGAGCTAGGCAGTGCAGGCTCCTCCCCCTCTCTGGGGTCAGAGTGCCCCCTGTTGGGGCTGGGCAATGTAGACTCCTCCCCCTCCCTGATGTCACAGAATGGGGCTGGGCAGTGCAGGCTCCTCCCCTCCCTGATGTCACAGAATGGGGCTGGGTAGTGCAGGCTCCGCCCCCTCTCTGGGGTCAGAGCACCCCCTGCTGGGGGCAGAACTGGGCAATGCAGACTCCTCCCCCTCCTTGCAGTTACCTGGCATCCAAGATGCCCTGGTAGAACTCCAGCTGCTTCATGAAGCTGGGGTTGGGGTGCACTATGGGGCGTCTGTCCTGCACGTGCTGGTAGGCCCGCTTCAGCGTCCAGCCGTACTCCTTCATGGCGTAGGCAATCACCGTGGAGGCAGAGCGGCTCACGCCCATCTTGCAGTGTACCAACACCCGCGAGTTCTGAGCCCTGCCAGGGGATATAGGCCAGTGAAATGGGTGCAAGAGACTCAGCATACTTTCCTCACCTCTCCTTCCCCAAGGCATCCCCTGGCAATGCCCCCCATGGCATCTTGATGGCAACTGCTACCTCCTTCGGGAGCACACAGGAGGGCACCACTGAATAGTATCTCGAAGGTGCCTTCTGTCTAACTACGATTACACATTCACCAGGACCCCACCACACTGCCCACTAGAAATGGGTCGCATTGGATACATTTACATCAGAACCCCTGTTACTCTCCCATTGCAGCCAACCCAGGGAAAGGCCAAATCTGAGAGACCAAACTTGAGGCTTAGGGAGTAGAAGGCGACACAACCCACCAAGACCTCAATAGACAGACGGCGATGTAAATGCATCCCGTCAAGGTTTCAGCCAAAGACGGCAGAAGGCGTGCAAACAGCCATCCAGAGAGGCACAGAGACAGAAGCACCAGACACACAAGGCACCCCAAACACGGAAAGCAACACCCCTGGCAGCATAATATTTATCTGTGACAAAGGCCTAGCGGAAAGCACTGCTAGGAAACATCACACTATAATGGGACCTAGGGCTGAACTAAGAATAGCTTCTGTTTACAAGCTACCAGGAGACCGGCGGACATGGCCAAGTGACCCTCTTCTGCCAGAAAAGCCATGCTTTGTCATCCCTGATGTTAGCAGTCATGCCATCTCCTTGGACTACTCCAGCAAGGGGTAGGCAGGAACCTAGACCTTGCTCTCTGACTCCGGGAGGTACATGTGTCCTCAAAGAGCATGCTTGAGGGAAGGGGACAGCCCTGACCTAGGCTACCACTGCACAATCAGTGTCGCGGTGCAGTGCAGACATGGCAGAAGCGGTTTTCCCGTCAATGTGAGTAATCCACCTCTCAAAGGTGGGAATTAGGACAGCGGTGTACTTGGAGAATACTATCACACAGGGGTCCTGAAAGCCGATGCCTAGCAAGACACCAGTGTACACCTTCCACCTGAAACACTGTCCAAACAAACTACCGTATCGTGGGCGGGGACAATCTTTGAGCTCTGCAAAGATCCTGCGTCCCTAGGGTCACAGGAGACAGAACGTTGACACTCAAAGAGCACAGCGAGAAGCTGGAAAAGGAACTCCGGTAATTGTGTACTTCAAGAACTGGCCAACATGAAAAGGGGAGCTGACCTCCAAATGCAAGATGGGCTAGTCAGAGTGTGATATTCCGTGAGAGAGAGAGACAGAGACAGAGAGAGATTCCGCTCTGGATTACTGAGCCCTGTGTGGTCCTGCATGAGCCAGGCACACAACATTGTTACTGAACTCAACCAATCCTGCAGGATCGTCACGGGGATGTTTAAACGGCAGCTCTGTGGCCTTGGCAGGGACTGCGCCACTGTCAGTGAGGTGGGATGCTGTCAGCAGAAAGGAGAGACCAAAACTGGTTCAGGATCCCAGATACCCACGGCATGGGCGTAGTCCGCCACCCAAGCAGCTGACATCCTCAAAGAGCTTTGCCTCTGAACATCCACTACCCCAAAAACCTCTGCAGTAGTCTCCAGGGAAACAAGCACCAGGAAATGTCACCGAACGTGGAAAACACGATTCCTCCAGAATCACTCCCTCCAGGCACAACCTCAATGAAAGCCCTGCCGCGTGGATCCACAGGGGTGGTGCGACACCCCAAACTTTGAACAATCTCTTGGAGGCCCCCCTTTAAAATGCCAGGCCCCCTCATTCTTCCTGCATGGGGAGGATGCAGAGTGTGCTAGGAGCCCTCCCTGCCTTCTGAGACAGGGCCTCTGGGGCTCCCACCCTCCTGCTGCACACGGGAAGCTCTGGTCACCAACTCCAACTGGTAGAGGGATGAACACAGCTCTGAAAGCATTTGCAGTGATGCCAGTCAACGGTGTTAGAACAGTTGGGTTTACCACCTGCAGCCCAGGTGAGCAAGGCCTTAGGTTGGCACAGACTAAAGAAGGCTGAAGTCTGGTGGACTGTGGTCAGCCCAGACCCTGGGCAAGTTGGAGCCAACTCCATTTTCAGGCTCTGACTTCCTTCGTTAGCTCCCAGGGGAGAGCTCCAAGCTTCTCCCAGGAGCCACCCTCTGCCTCCCTTTGTTCTGTAACTGGGCTCTCTGCTCTGCTCCACTCTGGAGAGGCCTGGAAATCTTTAGCCCCCAGGGTCCTTGCTTGCTAGGTGTCAACGTCCTGGCAAGTGGCCTTCCATGGTCTTCTCACATGTTCCATTGTTACAGGTTGGCCTCTGCCGGCCCTTTGTAACATTCATGGAACCAAAGGGGTGGAAGAAACTCAGGAGGCCATCGAGTCCAACCTCCTGCTTAAAGCAGGACCAACCCCAACTAAATCTTCCCAGCCAGGGCTCTGTCAAGCTGAGGCTTAAAAACCTCTAGGGATGGAGATTCCACCCCCTCCCTAGGTAACCCATTCCAGTGCTTCTCCACCCTCCTAGGGAAATAGCTTTTCCTAATATCCAACTTAGTCCTCCCCCACTGCAACATGAGATCATGACTCCTCGTTCTGCCATCTGTCACCACTGAGAACAGCCTCTCTCCATCCTCTTTGGAACCTCCCTTCAGGAAGTTAAAGGCTGCTCTCAAATCCCCCCTCACTCTTCCCCCCAGTAGACTAAATAAGCCTAATCCCTCAGCCTCTCCTTATAAGTCATGTGCTCCAGCCCCCTAATTGTTTTGGTTGCCCCTCACTGGACTTTCTCCAATGTGTCCACATCCTTTCTATAGTGGAGGGCCCAAAATTGGACAATACTCCAGACGTGGCTTCACCAGTGTGAAGAAAGGGGAATCATCACTTCTCTAGATCTGCTGGCAATGTTTCTTCTAATACAGCCGAACATGCCATTAGCCTTCTTGACTACAAGGGCACTCATATCCAGCTTTTCATCCACTGGAATCCCCAGGTCTTTTTCTGACAGACTGCTGCTTCATCTGTCGGTCCACAGCCTGTACCAGTGTTTGGGATTCTTCCATCCCAAGTGCAGGACTTTGCACTTGTCCTTGTTGAACCTCACCAGATTTTTTGGCCCATTCAATCCAGCTACTAGACAGGGAAGGAGGTATGTACACACACACACACACACATACAAACACCCACGCACAGGTAGTTCTCAGCCTTCAATGAGAGCAAACAGTCCTCCCTCTCACCGGGCAGCCATGCAAGGGGCAGAGGAAACTGAGGCACACACAGCGCTCATAAATATACCACTGAAAATTTGGTCTCTGTCACGCACCAACAGACTCTAAGTTGAGAGAGAGTGACAAAGACTGGCAACAATATCACCAAGTGGAAACTGAGGAACGGTCCCAGATGTCAATGCAGAGAGCTGAGGCAAACACCTGAACACTGCTCCTGTCACCATCCCCTACTACCAAGGATCTGGCTGTGGTTTTGGAACAATCAGCTGTGACGATTATTGGAGTCTGTGCGGATACAAAATTTGTATCCCCATCCACAGCCATATCTGCAAAAAGGAGCGGCGGATATCCGCGACTTTGCAGGGTTCTCATGATCATGTCTGGGATGCCCTCCACGCTCCCTGCACATGTGACCAGAACACACACGACACCTCCCACATGTCTTTGGACATGTCTCCCCCCCACACACTCACACCGTCTGTAAGACACTCAGCAAGCGAGAAAGTTTATGTGGCCACCGAGAGCCACAGCGCAGCCACAGAAAGGACAAAGGACCAATTGTGTGTGGTGCTGACATGCTCTCTATGGAGGGCGAGGGGCCAGGTGCAATGTGCCCATCTCTCAGCACACCTATGACTCCTCCCTACTGAACCCCCCCGCTCACCGGACATCAGAGATGAAGCGATAGGTCTCTTTCCAGTAGGGCAGCAGCTGGGAGGCCTCTTCGTCGTAGAGCCGCACGTTCATGTAGGTGAAAAGCGCCGGGAAGAAGTTGTCGATTTCCCGGGTCACGTTGAGGATGTGGCTGATTCTGATCCAGGAGGAAGAGTCAGGGGGGTGCTGGGGCCTCCCAGCCACTCACCCCACAGATTGGGGTGGGCCCTGGGGGTGGAGGCAAGTTGCCCCGCTCCCTCAAGGAGCGCCAGGCAGGGCTGGGAGGGGGTGTGCAGGCGGCGGGATCTGAACTCAGCTCAGACAGTCCCATCCAGCCTGGAGAAGGGAAAGGAGGCAGGGCCTCTCCAAGATGCCCATTCCCCAGCACTTTGGCTCCAGCATTTCGCTCTGCACCCTGGTCAGGACGGCTGCGGGGACTGATCCCGGCCCCGGGGCAGCTGCAGACTCACTAACCTCTCTACACGGTCTGGTCATTGCAGAGCGATGGAAAGATGCCCTGGGTCAACACAGGCCCGATGGGGAATCTTCCCCCAACCCTCCCCCAGGGCCGGAGCACACACCTGTTGCGCTGCAGCTCCTCCAGGTTGGCTGCGTTCCACTCGGAGCCCTAGAGACAGGCAGAGAGGGGGACAGCAGGGTGAATGGCCGGACGGGGAAATCCCAGGCAGCCACTGCAGCTGCTCCCTTAGCTCCTTCTCCAGGAAAGTCTGACCCCCTGGGGGCTACATCTAGCCTCCTGAGTAACTACAAGAGCACCCCCTGCTGGAAGAGGCTGGGACTGAAGTAACCGGGAGCACATGCCCCCTCACCCCGTCCCAGCCAGTGCTCCTGCCCTGCTCCCAGCAGCGCCCCCTGCTGGGAGAGGCCAGGACGAGCTCTCCCCAGCCCCTTTCAGCTCCTCACTAGGTACAGGTGGTCAAAGATCCTGGAGGGCCGGTCCATCTGGGCCATGATGAGCAACATCTCGTTGTCGATGAACTCCTTGTACTCCTTCAGGCTGCAGTTGGTGCGGTGCTCCAGCTCTGTGCGGATCTGCATGGGGAACAGAGGGACGGATCCTTGGCCGGAGGGAGAGGCTGGTCACGCCCCTCCAAGCCCCACAAAATTGCTTCCCAAGCCCGCTTTAACCACAAAAGCATATCCATCCCCATCTTCCACCCTGATGCCCCATGCCTCTCACACCCCATTGACTTCCCCTATCCTCCCTCGCCACCCCCCACTCCTCTCCCCTCCCCACCATGTACCCTACCTCCTTGGAGGTGATGCTCTCCAGGTCAGCCGTGGCCATCAGTTCACGCAGTTTGGCCCGGATCATCCGCTCCATCATCTCACGCTGGGTTGGGCTAGGGCACAGAAATGGGGAGGGCATCAAATCTCACAGGGCTCCCAAGTTCTGCCCCCAGACTCCATCCCCCTACCTCACAGACCCCACCCTCCTGCTTAGGTTTGGCTTGGGTCCAACCGATGTGGGGGCCCTAGAGAAAATTCGAACTCAATACTCTGGCAAAGGGGCGGGAGCTCTCCTCCAGCCAATCATCATCCAGCATTCGAAGCCCTTATACGGAGCCTGGCCCTGTCCAGATTCCACTGGCTGCCAAGGTGGGGGAGCCCCAGGGAGAGGGGTACATGTGGGGCTCCCTGAGTTTTACTCAGGGAAGTCACCACAGCACCCTGCCCTGTATAGATCCTGCCCCACCCTGCCCACATCGCCCCTGGCCTGGTACCGACCGGTCAGAGAAGACAGCGGGGAAGTCAGGTCGCACAGACTCCAGGTCGGACATGGCCAGCCACTCGTTGATGCAGCTCTGCTCCGAAGCGATGCCGCACTGATACCACTCGGCCCAGCTCAGGGCGGTGCCCCCAGGGAAGTGGTTGTTGTGAACGGCTTCATTGCACGCCTTGTGCAGCACCTGCAGCACCGACCTGGGGAGGGGAGCAGACAAGGGCTGGAGGGGGCAGAGCTCCCCAACTAGGGCCCCGCCCTTCCCCACTGCTTGGCGAGTGGGAACGGGGCGCCTGCACTAGGACTACTTTACTGCCGTGGCCTCTGTTCCATCGACTGAGGGCTTTGGCGGAGGGATATATAAGCAGGTGAAGATCCCCACAGTGGTCCCACTGACTCCCATGGCCACAGCACCTCCCCATGGCAATCCCCCACAAATACCCTTCCACCTCCCACAGCCATCACCTCCAATCCCAGAGCAATGCTCTCTGATATCCCTGCACTTCCCAGGGCTGCCACATCTCCCCCACTCAGAGCAATCCCCACAGGTATCCCCCTCTGCTTTCTAGAACCATGACACCTCCTCTCTGGCCGATTCCCACAGATAGCCCCTGCTTTCCAAGTCCCTGCCTAATCCCACCTTCCCCTCAACCCTTGCCCTAGTGCAGAGGTGGGGAACCTTGTTATCTTGGCCACTGACCCACCTCCGGGCTTCCTGCCCCTCCACCCGTGACAGGTGGGTTGAACGAGTGTGGCCCTTGTACCGTATGAAAATGCTGAAGGGACCAGATCTGGTCCATAGGCTTCCCATCCCTGCTCTGGTGGGCCCCAGCCGACGTGATATTCCATCCCTGGAATAATCCCACCGCTCCCACCAGCTGTACTTGACAGGCAGTGCGGGGCTCACTCACCACATGGTCTGCACAGAGATGGGTTTGAAGATGCGTGTCTGCCCCCAGGATGTCACACTGAAGCCCCTAGAAACACAGAGAGCAGGGCTGGGATTTCACAGGGGGTTTGGGCAGGCAGAGGCATTCTCCCTTCACACACAGGGCTGGTCAGAGAGGCTTCATGAATGCACAGTGCCAGCCCAGCAGCTCCCTGCAGGCCAGATCATACACAGGAGCAGGGGGAAGGGGAAGGTTGCAGCATCGGGGCTCTGAGAGTCAAGCTGGGCTTTCTCTGTGCCATCTGGCAGTGCCAGCCTAGGACCCAGAAGACTTAGTTTCTATTCCCAGCTTGGCTACTGGCCTGCTGGGTGATTTTGGGCAAGTCACTTCCCTTCCCCATGCCTCAGTTTCCTCATCTGTAAAATGGTGCTAAGGACCTTGACCTTGTACAGTGTTTTGAGATCTACTGATGAAAAGTCCTAGATAGGAGCCAAATGTTATTGTTCCTTAGATCACCACAGTGGCATCGGCGGGAGTCGGCAGGCAGCTCAAAGCAACAGGTGGGAGAGGTACGCCTGCATATCAGTTTGTGATATTGACTCTGAAACCTAAGGACGGCCCATTAAAGTTTCCTACATTATGAAACATTTTGGGCCCATTTCTCATTGCTGATTGGGGCTGGGGATGGTCGGTTTAGATGCAGCTGGCCCTGCGGAGCACACGGAACCCTGAGCACCTCTTGCAGTTCACGGCCAGTGGTGCTGCTGTGGGAAGTGGCCAATGGCCCTGCCCGGACAGAAGAGGGGAGCTATGCGCCAGGGTGTGGGTCAGGCAGAGAGTCCGGAGCCTGTACTCCTTTCTCTGTCCAGCAGAAGGTAGCACAGGCTCTTGCTGGGGGCACAGTATGTGGCAAATGGTGGGTGAAATGCAGACCCGAATGGACACAGCAGAATTTCCCTCTGCCTCCCAGCGGAGTAGCACTGGCTCTTACCCATCCCCGTCGAGGAAGACCTGGGTGTCGCTCCAAAGGGGCAGCACCATCCCCAAGGTGCATCTGGCCGAGCTAGGGGCAGAGAGAGAGGTCAGAGCGTATGGCATCGGGGTGAGTGCAGGGGTCCCTAGTGGGGCATAGGAGAGGTTATAGGTTCAGACCAATAACTCACAGACTGCGGCTCCCTGTGCCCATCTGGGGCCCTGCCCTGGTGCTATGGAGGCAGTGCAAGGGCATGTCAAAGAGCTCGACAAGCATAGGGTGCAGGCAGCTCCTCCCCGAGGCCACAGGGCATAAGCCCCTCACTCCTCAGTCCTGCTTCCCCCGCCCTGATTTCCCCCTTCTCTGGGCTCCCCAGCACTCATAACTCACAGACTGCGGCTCCCTGTGCCCATCTGGGGCCCTGCCCTGGTGCTATGGAGGCAGTGCAAGGGCATGTCAAAGAGCTCGACAAGCATAGGGTGCAGGCAGCTCCTCCCCGAGGCCACAGGGCATAAGCCCCTCACTCCTCAGTCCTGCTTCCCCCGCCCTGATTTCCCCCTTCTCTGGGCTCCCCAGCACTC